TTTGTGCTAACTTTGCTCATTCAGTTCCCCACCATCTTGTGGACAGACCCTGTCATATTTGTCTTTCTTTTTTATTATTTTTTTTAACATTTTTATTTACTTTTGAAAGACAGAGACAGAGCAGAATCAGGGGAGAAACAGAGAGAGAGGGAGAATCCAAAGCAGGCTCCAGGCTCTGAGCTGTCAGCACAGAACCCCACACGGGGCTCGAACCCATGAACCGTGAGATCATGACCTGAGACAAAGTCGGACACTCAACCGAATGAGCCACCCAGGCGCCCTGAATGTCATTCTGATGGTTCTTGGATCAGTCTCAAAAGGTGGATATTCATCTCTAATGGTCATTTAAAAATGAAATTAGTCAACCTATGTTAGCCCCTGTTGCATCAAGCATCGTGCTAGGCTGTGATTTTATAAGAACAAAAACAGCAAAAACAACAATATACCAGACAGTCTTGGAAGTACTTAAATCAATGATCTTATCTGATATGCTGGACGAACTCAAGTATAGACTGTTATGATTTCCCCGTTTGATGAATTAAGAACTGGGGCAGAGAGAAATCAAACAGCTTCTCAGAGGTTAAACAGCCTATTGGTTGTGGAATCAGGCTGTGAATCCAGAAAATAACTAGAAGCTTCTCCCTGATTCCAAGAGGCTTATAATCTACTTGGGGGGGTTGTATTTCACATTCCACTAACCGTCCCAGAAAATGACACGTCCCAGCCTAGTGCTGTGGGTTGGGGGATTCAGATGTGGGTTTGACCATTTCTGCCTATTTCTTTTAGGAAACAGGGCTTCAAAGAGAAGGTAACAGTTGAGTTGAGTCTTAGGCATAGAGCCCCGCTGACCAGACCTCCCTTGTCACCACCCTTCACTTGCGCCCACCCATCGAGGATTTTAGATATGATTCCTACCATCGTTTTTAGCAGCCACCTTGGCCTGGGTATCAGTGAATTGAAGGAAAAGAATAAAAAAGAAAGAAGAAAACCTCAGTCGAGTGGTCAAATACTTAGTGCTTTCATAACACCATAAACCAGCATCCAGCTTTCCATCCGGCACGATTCGCTTCAGGCAACTCATGAAAGCTGAGACCCTGGGGGTCATCTAGGTCAATGACGGCAAATAGATTTTATTTCCTGTGCCAACTCTAATCGACTGAAGGCTCCTGTTGGAATATTGGGCTTAGAAGGATCCAGGGGCTGTCAGAGATCGAAGGAAAAAGTGCCACAATCGATTAGCGATGTCTGATCCGGATCCAGGAGCAGGGAACGATGGCTCGATTGCCACACGCATACCAGACGGAGTCCGACCCACCACGTTTGAGGAAAACGTGAAGAAGAGGAAATGGGACTTTGAAGTGAAAGGGTGAATGCCTCAAAATCCCTTAGCAGGTTAGTGGCAGAATTACCTGGTTTCCAGTGCTCTTTCCATAACACCCCAACTCCTGGCAAGTGGTAATCGGTGATCCCAGGATCAGCAGCAAACACCAGCAAGCAAATTACATTATGCTTCGTACAGTGTTTGTGTGAAGTGCATTTCATTCTAATTCCTTGAAAGCTGATGATCCGTGGAACGCCACTCTCTTCATTGGAATATCTGATTATTCAGAGCCTTCCCCGACTCTGCCGGTAATAGCAAATCACCACCTCCTCCAGGCAAGTAGCAATTTATTCCAGACGAGAGGAAAGAAGTCAGGTCAAGGTCTTCCTTCGTTTTTCTAAAGGGCCAGTGACACACGTTTTTGCAGCCATCCTGTTTGCCGGTCTGACCTGGGCTTGTCAGTAAAGCCAGACAAAAGAAAACGCGTTCGAAGGAGTGATGTCCCCCTAAACAGCAAGCTCAGCTGAGCGAAGCCTTGGTGGCCAGATTTCATCATCCCTAAACATTCCCAAAGTCTGAGCTCATCAAGATGTGAGTCCCAGGGGTAGTTAGGCAGAGGGGGAGAAAAGAAGGCACGGCCAAGCAGGGGAACTGCATTCGCCAAGGCGTGGTGGCGAAAAAAAGTGGAGCCCTAGGTGGGGAGCGGGGAGTCTGGGGGCCAGGTGAAAAGGAACCACGAAAGGAGACTGGACTTCGTGGTCATATGGACCCCCAACTCAGCCCTGGCTCCTTCAGGATCCAGCATGCTGTGCAACCTCTCTGGACCTCGGTTTGCTCACGCATCACGTGTCTTCCAAGATAGTATAATTACATCCCACACTTATACACAGTGCATGGAATTTGGTAGGTGTTCGACAAATGGTCAAGTGATTAAAGAATATACTGGCTTGTTATATATTGTAGGGGGCACAGTACTTCGAGGGATGAGAAAGCCGGAGTTCTTGGTCCCAGTTCTGCCTCAGCACGGGACCTTGGACCCTCGGCCTGGCACGTAGTAAGCTTTAAATAAATGTTGGCAGAAGGAATGAATGGGTGAATAAGAAACCCCCAGAAAGATTTTACAGAAACAGGTGGGCCCCAGTTTTCTCATCCATCTAAGGAAGACTGGTCTCTCCGATCCCTTTAACCATAATGTTCTTTTGGCCTGTGTATTTCTCACCGATGCTCAACCCCACCGTGAGCAGGGCCCTGTCCCCTCCATGACACTGAAGTCCCAGGGAAGTTCAGAGAGTGCAGTGCCTGACCCCAGCAGTCTCTGGGCTAAAGCATACCTGAAGATTTGACCCTGACCATGAGATGGCCTACGATGCTTGGCCCCTTTGTGGAGCTGCCTCCAAGGAAAGTAAAGCGGATTTCAAAGCAAAAGCCAGCCGAGGGGGAAAGCGAGGCCTGGGGCTGCGTTCCAGCCACACTCATCGGTGTGGATTGCTGTCACCAGCCCCCTCACCTGTGAATCAGGGACCATGGGCAGATGGGTGTGCCGAGTCATGAGGGTGCCGGCTCGGCTCAGGGACTGCCATACTCTTCCGGGCTTCCTGTCCCCGAGATTCCCCGGGAGGGCGGGGTCAGACCCCCAAAGGGGGAAAAGGCACTGAGGAGCAGGGAGACGGCACCATGCACAAGACGACAGTTCAAAAGGAAATAGCACAAGCTGGAAGTCATTGATGTGCCTTTAACGCTTCAAGTATGCCTGCTTTTGTTTATTTTTTAATCTCACAAGTCATAGACACTGAATGGTAAGTCAGATTTCGCACCCCCCCACCCCCCCGCCTGTTTGGTACTCCAGCTTAAAAGGAGCTTTTACACAGCTTTAAAGATAAAACTTCAGAGGGCCCTAGCTCTGTGCCCAGAAGGCAGGGAAGGGAGCCCTCTGCCACGGCGAGGGAAGTGGCAAAGGCTGGCCGGTCAGCCCTCCCCAGAAATGAGGTCAGAATCCAGAAGCCGAATAAGGTAGGAACCAGGCAGCTAAGCTTTCTGGGAGGTGATAAAAGCAAGGAGTCAGGAGACGGGAGAAGTAGAGGGGCCGGTTTGAAATGGACGCGGTCCCCATAGGAAATCACGGTAGGTCTCTAAGCAGAGGAGGGACAGCAGGAATATTCCGCCGATGAAAGATATTTCCGGTATCTTCTCTTGCTGCAGCTTAGAACAAGGAATGGGGCGGGGCGGACACACTGACCTATTTGTAGATCAAATTCAGATTTGGAAATAACAACAACGGGGCTGGGTTATAACTTTTCTAACATGACATTTTATTCACATAACAAGAATGTTTTTAGTGTTATCCAATACCATTGAGTTATGTATTCATTTACTCGATAAATAATTATTAAACGTCTACGATGTTCTCACCCTTTTGAGAGATACAGGAGAGGAAGAAATTGATAGTGTCGCCAACGCAAGTGTGCAAAAATGTGCTGAAGAGGAAGAGGAAATAAGGCGCAATTGATTTCCCACGGGGAAGGGCAGCTACTGTGCGATCCAAGCAAGCTATGGCAGGAGAATCCTTGAGAGCTGGGAGGTCTGGACAGGGCAGGTGATGGGCAGTGGGGCTGGCGCAAAGGGAATATTCCACGCCCGCGGAGGAGAGTGGCAAAGATTTGAAGAAATGCACGATCAGAAGGTTTGAAGGACATGGGCTTCTCTGAGGTGGAGGGTTCGAGGGCCCTCCTGGAAACAAAGGGGCATCCTTGTCGACTTCTGAGACCGAGTGCCTCATTCTACACGGTCATTCAAGACGTCGAATCTGGTGGCAATATTCAAAGTGGGTCACAGGTTGAGAGTTGAGGAGGGACAGGTCAGTGTGGGCCCTCTCCGGTGACCCAGAGTCGGAGAGACGGAACGGGAAGGCTGGGTCAGGCAGAGCCTGTCATAACAGTGGGGTTCCCATCGGCCCTTTCGGATAGTTCAAGGCCCACCCAGCCGTCCAAGTTACGCAAAGACTGAATCGGACACCCGTGCTCGTGCCAGGAAATGGATACTTCTGGTGCCTAATGGGAGCCTAGAGAACAGAACAAAACCCCAGGACAGTGTGCCTCCCACCTGCAGCCCACATCCCGGCACCCGCCTGCCATCGTGGAAAAGGGGGAGTAATTTGCTGCAGATCGTCCAAGGCCGGGGCTTATATTATTCATTTTTCTTGGAAATGTCTGAGGTTCCATGATCCCTCTCTAATCCCATATGCCAGACTGAGCTTATATTTTCACAGGCACAGGGCTGGCTGCTTTGGCCAACATCCACTTTAGGATCGAGGCCGTTCCGCCGCCCGGGCCGCCCCCCGGAGGTCAGCCTTCCCGCCTGGTGTCACCAGTTAGTCCCCAAAGCCTAGCTCTCTGGCGCTCATCACAGCGCAGGAAAGCAAAACATAGGGTGTCTTTTATTTTTTCTCTTTTCTTTTCTTTTTCTTTTTTTTTTTTTAATTTGAAAACAACAAGAGAGTTTCTCTAACATCAAACTCAATTAAGTTTCCAGAATTTCGGAAAGTCCTAAGAATTTTTATTTTGTGATAAGTTATGAAAATTACATGCAGAGCGTCTCCACCACTTGGGTTTCTCTTTGTAGCCAGGGCCCTCTGTTTCATTTTCCTGGAGGGCTTATAATTTATTCTATTATTTCCTAATAGGTACCCAGGATTCCCTGCTATGAACCGAAGGTTTGTTGTCTTTCTGTATCTAATAACATTCGCGGAGTGAGGACCACTCTCTGCCACTGGGAACACAAGATGTTTCTTTGGGTTTTGTTATCTTTCTTTTTTTAAAAAATGTTGCAACATAAGCCACAGGCCTTTTTCGTGTCCGTGCTGATGATAAAGTGATGTCTGAAAAATGTACGAATGCATATTCTTCCAGAAGACCTCTAATTAACTCAGTGCCCCCCATGTCACTCCTGTCCCTGACTGTCCTGTAGTGTTGATGTAGTTTGTCGCCTCAACCCTATTTTTTAGCCACTGGTGACAGTGGGCATTATCTCTCGATGTCACATCTTGAGAATGCAGCCTGGCAGGGGAGAGCACGACGCTGGCCTTATAAGTGCTCTAAAAAGCTTACTTAATAACCACCGCAAGTAGATGTCTGAAAATCCAGCCGTTTTCCCTCGGGACTGGTCCTGCACTCTCCCACCCACCCGCCTAATGGGGACCCACTCTTGTCCCAGTTACAGGAGCCTCCAAGCCTGCTGGACCCCGAGACTGCTCAGAGCATTTCTCTGTCGCCCTAAATATCACTCTTTCTCCTCCTGCTTTGCCACATCAGGGGGTACCTGGGAACACAGTAGTCTGCAGCCGGATTTATTTCCAGGTGGAGAAACTGAGTTCTAGAAAAAGCATGGTGGACACTGGGGGTTCTTAGTGTGATTGTTTGCTGTTTTGTTCTTTTGCCCCCCCCCTTGGCCCTGATTTTCTTTTGAAAAGCCACCTTTCTACACGTTTCCAGCATTTATGGTTCTGGAGAGGTCCATCCCACTCTTAGGCTACAGAGGCCAGCAAGCAATCCACGTCTGGCCAGTTCTCTTTCCTGTTTTCGGTAATTGGTTCAGGAGGTGGGTGTGTGACTCGAGCCAAGTCGAAGTGTCATTCTCGGGATTCGTGCTAGGAGTCTTGGGAAAGAGGTACTGTCTTTCTACTGTGCTTGAAAGCTGAGAGATTGTAAGCGTGAAACTTCCTGTGGCCATTCTGTCACCAGAAGGGGAGAACCTTCCGGAGCACTAAGCCAAGAGAGAAAGAGCAGAGGTGAAAGGTGGAGAGCCACAGTAAGCTGTATGACTCGGTAATCTGATGACTCCATTTAAGCCCCTAGCCCTAGCTGTGCCTGAGGTGAATTCTGCCTGAACTGTTCAGTTACGTTAGCCAACAAATTCGGTCAGCCATTTTGAACAAGGCTGCTGGCTCTCCTTGAAGAGCCTTTCCTGAAGATGCTTCGGAACTTTGAGCCTACTCTTAATGGAGAGCCACCTGTTCTTAATGATATGCTAATGTCCAGGAATGGATGGATTCATCCTCCTTCTCCCAGCGATTAAGGCACAGCATAGAAATGCAGCTTTTATGAACACTGGTAGCATTTCCAACCCGTCTTAATCAATGTCCTTAATCTCTTCTTTCCCAAACATGACAAGGTCATGATGAAGTAGCAACGTTTACAGGTGGCTTACCCGTGTGAGGACTGACAGATAACGAAGGTCCAAATGTGACAAACAGCAACATAGGACCTAGCGGACGCACAAAACTGTGCCCGGTCCCCACACGGAGACGGTGGACACGTTACACAGCAGCCAAGTGAGCAGTTATTCTCCAGAATAATTTCAGTCTTTCTTTAATTTGAAAGATGGAAGAAAGAAGAAAAATAAATCTACAAAATGAAAGAAAGGGTAAAGTGTCCCTGGTCAATGAGGGCCAGGGAAAAAGACTTCCCAAGGCAATGGTATTTCTATTCCATAGACCTGAAGACTAAGTCTCCCACTTAACAGGACCTGAACAAAAATCACGAGCTTTGAAATCTGACTAACTTGCTAACCTGTATGTCAGTCCCAAGGTTTATAATGTACTAGTTTGTGAAATCTCAGGGGAGCTTTTTTTTTTTGCCTTGATTTCCTCCCCTGGAAATGAGAATGATCCTTGCTATCTCGTACGGCTGTTGAGAATATTCAATGAAATTATAAATCGAAGTACTAGTCTATACACATAGTAAACGCTCGATAATTGGCAGCCATTATTAGTATAATCATTAGTAACAGTAATTGTAATAATAATAATCACCGAGGTGATAGAAGTTTGCTCACTTCTATTTAAATCTCGGGTGGCCTCCCGGCCTATAAGGCAGCACTAAGAATAATTACCATAGATAGGCCTGGGCATGCCAGGTTCAGGGGAATGAGGAGTTGTAAGAAGGACACTTCGGTCAATTTTGTTGAGGCCAATACGGAGGCCTCGGCTAAGCCAAATTTCTCCAACACTTACAGGATTTTGTACACTAATCTCTGCTTCTTTTCAATTCAGTCCCATTGAAGATAATGCTTTCGGATCTCTTTCAACAGTTGAATTATGTAAACTTTGTCAAAGCCAGCACATCCGACTTACCCGTTCAGCCTCCCCAAACGGTGTCCCAAACGCCATGTTAACTTTGCAAAGGAGTCATTTTCAAAGGGTCTGCTAGAATAATATCCCACCTGGCAAATGTGGCATGAAATGGAAAGAAACCCGGAGATAAAAACTGGAGGAAAAAAGTCCTCCGTCATCACCGTACCGAAAATAAAGTCATGTCGGCGAGTGTAACCGTAACGTTCACGTGCGCATGGTTACGGTTCCTTCAGACCCGGACGCCTGAGTTTTAAGTAGTTTTACGGTGCCGGATCCTCTTGAAACCCAACCCTGGATCCTATGACAGGCAAAGGGGGAACAGAGAGCGGGTCACGGTTCCCATCTTACTTAGGAGCTGAGGTGGGTATCTCTTCTTGCTGTTGTGTGGAGGGCTCTCTGCCCTGACTCCAATCCCCATCTCCTCCCCTCAGGGATGTCCTACAGTAATCAGCCTACCCCTACCCAGGGGAACCCATTTGGAGATGGGTGTGTGAAAAACTTCTGGTCAACAAGACTCAGGTTCAGGATTCTGTGGAACCTCTGGGCGAGAGAAACCCACCTGTCTCCACGGGGCCTGAAAGGAGGCTGTGCTCCCGTCGCTGCAAAGTCCTGCGTCTCCCGCTCATGGACCGTGAGCCTGATGCCAACACTCGCAGGAAGCAGAGCCAAGAAACCGGGAGAAACTGAGTCCCGAAAATCCTCTGTGAACCTGAATCCCGCTGTGCCTTAACGTGCCCCCTGGAGGTGCCAGTTTCTGTAAGCCGGGGGATTCTTTTTTTGTGTCGGCCAGTTTAGGCTAGGATGTTGCAATTTGCAAATTAATGTGACCGACTGATGTAGAGATTCAGCATCAAAAACAAACCAAATCAAATGCCTAAGTTTAAATTAGGTGTCAGCAAATCAGGAAAATTTCTATGATCACAGCTGAGATGAAGACCGAGGACAACAGCCTGTTGAACCTAGAAATTTCTGATCCATAGCCTCACAACTCGCCTTGAGATAAAATAATTAAACAAATAAAACAGCGGACTTACGCTGTGTGGCCATGGCTGCCCCGTTGGAGAGTTTCAACGGAGAAACTAGGGGAGGTATGCGGATCTAAGATCGTGGCTCTGGCCAGAAAACGGATCAGGGCTGTGAAATCTTTAGGAAATTAACCGAGGAGTCAGACGTTTTACATCTGTCCTGGTCAAGAAAAGCAGTGGGGTAACTTGCTAAATGTTGAATAGGGATGCTGACAACAACTGCATTATTTAGGGCTTCTGTGACTTCAAACAAGAGGCTTTCCCAAACTTGGGAAGGTGCCTCCAGGGCCAGGAATAAACGGGTGTGACTTTTATAACGCGCAAGCAGAAAGAACTCAGACAAACGAGGAATTGTAGTTTTATGAAATGGGGACTGTACAAAACAGATGCATTAGGAATTTGGAACCAGCTTAAGACAGTACATTGTTTGTTCAATTCCTGGTAGAGATCCTGCCCCCCAAATTATTTTTAATCGTATATGGCAACTTCTTTGCCAAAAAAAGAGCTTTGATGCAACTCTGCAGTGAAAATCACTTAAAGCAAGTGGAGTTCAGAAGAATCTTGGAACTCAGAAGCTTCCCTCCCAAACCGCAGTTAGTCCAATCCCCTTTCTTGGTAGGGTGGAGTACCGGGTAATGGCAGCCCGAGAGCTGGGACCGTGTCGGGGGCAAGAGCCAAAATGTGTCTTTACGTGGAGAACTTTGCATTAGGACTCCGCCGTTCTTCTGATTCATGCATCCACGGAGTCTCTGGCACTCTTGAATTCTCTTTCAACTGGGTAAACATCAGGAACTATTCAAAAAACAGGACAGGATTAACTCGGCCCGGTACACATTCAAATACCAAAGCTTGAGTCCCTTGGGCAAGACATTTGCCAACTGCAGGAAGGCGAGTGCTCTACCTGGGGAGCCAAAGGAATCTTTCCACACCTTAGTTCCTCCCCATGATGTGACTCATCTGGGTACCACTCGCTAAGCTGCGCTTAGAGCAGAAAAACACGTCCGGTACACTGAATCCTCGTTGAATGTGGCAAATGGGAGAAGGAGTCTGGCTCGGTGACGAGAAACACCATATCCAAAATGAAGTGGGCCGATCAGCCAAAGGCAGAGAGAATCGGCCCTACCTGGGAGACAGCAGCTGCCTAGTAAGGCTATGGTGAGTGAGTGAAGAAAAGCATAAGCAGATGAATAAATGAATGAGTGGATCACTAGACTGACCGCTTGCTTGTGCCACTTCAAAGGAAACCTGCACGAGAATAGCCAGCAGGTGTTCGGAAGTGGAACACGATCCACTTCCGATTTGGTCGGCGGGACAAATACTTACTGCTCCATCCCCGCTGCATGAGATGATGTGGGACTCGCTAAGGAGGACAGAATATAAAAGACGTATCAACGTGGCTTCTGCTCAAAATGCACGCCATCCGCTTGAGAAAAGACACACGTTATGAAAACGAGAACTGACCGTGTACATGAGTTGTCTTCGTGAAATAAGGGCACAGGGCAAAAAAGCTTACGAGCATTTATACAGGTTCTGGGGGCTGAAGGTCAGAGCAGGCTTCATGTAGAGACAGCATCGGTGTGGGTAGAATTTGTCTCTGTGGATACAAGCAGGAGCACGTTTGGTATGAATGCAATCAGGCAACATACTCGGAACCAGCCTGACACCTAAATATCCCTAGT